TCGAATCGAGAGGGACGGTTTCTTGTTCTGCTTTATATAGGCAATAAGGTAATGAGATCATTCATGGGGGAGGTACCCCTACGCTCAGGTTTGAAGCTTTTCTCTATCAATTGGAAAAATATGCAAGAAAGAAGCTATAGAATATGTCTGAGACCATCGGCATCGCTTTTTGGCGGTCGTGGCAATATAGATGCCATAAAGAGACCTGAGCGGTCAGCTTGTTGTTGATCATCTTGTACTTCTTCACGAAAAATGAGAGTAACAATGACTTTAATCATCCGAAAACATTAAAAGAGAAGAATGGCAGACAGAAGAACTCCCGCACGTCTTCGTCACCATTGAGTTGACCAAGAATGTTCGAAACAGGCCTGAAATGAGGTGAACGTGTTTCGATAGACGGGGGCTGCATTCACCTAATGCCTTGCAAGCGAATTTAGTTCTTTGCATTGCAGGAACAAAACACTACAACGGAATGCAAAGCAGAAACAACGAAAGAGAAGACAGGTGTGCTTTGCTTATACACGTACAGGACCCTGACTGTAAACGGAAGTGGGACTTGATAACTTTCGCAGGACAGTTTCTCCTTCCAACTATCACTACCGATATGATCCATGCTTAGAGTAGGGCTAAAGACATGACTGAAATTCCCGCTTCCCAGTTCTATGTATTTCTCACAGTGAATCGCTTGTCTTCATATGGCTGAATCTTGACGGGAAGTATGAGTCGTGAGCTGGGGGTTCGTGTGATTCTGACAAGCTGATCAGAAGGCGACGGTGGTGACACCTTGCCGGGTGGTTGTAAATGGCGAGGGCAATGATAGAGAAATAAGGCACTCCAACGAAATGTTTGTTACCATAATCAAGGCCATGGTACTGCATTGTATCCGGTATCGCCAGTGATAGTTGTTGCACGATTGGCATTCGGGCGCGCTGCATACCCTGTAATGGAAGAGGATTTCGAAAAGGATGCAGTAGAAACCGCTTGTTAAGAAGTCTTGATAAAGGACAGCGGGGTTTCAGAAATACTTGCACAAATGAGAACAAATTCCGCGGTTCTGCACGGTAGAGAGGAGGCTTTTAGGGTGTAGCCACGGAAATTTTCATCTATGTTTCCGTTCGAAGAAAATCATCCAAATCGTTAACCGCCGATCAGAGGATATGAATAACAAACGCGCTTGGAAAGCAGAAGCAATCTCGGTCGAGATGGCTTGGTTTTGAATGGCACATCGAGACTGTAATCGTATCGAGTTCCCCTGGTCACAAATCGTGACACAGCTAACAAACACTGACAAAGGCCAAACATGTTGTGGCTCCTCTTTAACACAACTGTAAGAGAGAAATGACTCACTCTCGTATTCTCACTTCGTGACTGTAATCGAAGCAACAGCAGGGTGCGAGCCGTAATACTGATCAATCCTGCAGTCCTTCTGATGACGAGCATAAATTTTGCGACAAGAGGGATACAACGCACACAGGAAGAAGTCTCAAAATTAGAAAGGAGGGCTATGTGCAGCAGTTGCATTACTCAATTCTCTTCCCGGGGAAGAGGTGACGGGCTTGGCAATTTCTATGTGTTGGATTATTAAGTCAACCCTCTCTTTTCCACAAAGTGAGGCACGTCTGCGTTCATAGTCACTGAATGCATGGAACCGCTTTTGCAAAGGACTGGCGTGTAGAAATGGTTAGCTAGAGACATTTCGTCTCCATGTAACTCATGTTTGACTGGCCTTCTTCCGTCGAAGCATTTTGCGTTTTGTGCAGTTATATTCAAAGAGCGGACTCGCCCTTCACCTGCTTCCGAAGACGTTTTGTGATGACAAACCTGGGGCAATGACGCGAGGGGAAGGAGGCATTGAGCATGCGGCAACAGGAACTCCCATTTCCGGTCCTTCCAAACCCGCAGGTAATGGCACACACTTTATTGGCTTTCCAGCCATCTGACGTGTTTCATTGTCGTCATACAGTACCACCCAGATTATGTCAAGATACAGCAGCAAATAAATGATGAGGCACAGAAACTGTCATTAGTGAGGCGGAAACAGATTATGTAGATGAAAGTCGTTTGTATCTCACGTTTTGTTTTCATTCGCGCTTCAGCCCTCAACAATGCGGGTCGGAGGAGGGATCACACGGCAGGCTGTAACTATGATGTGAGGAGGGGTGGGGAATAGTTTGGTGTACAGTCCCTGAATATTTATCGCATTATTGTGTTTTGAATAATTGGCTCTCATTTTGTTTGCTCCAAAGGCAAGGTTGCCACCTGTTACAGAAGCGTCCTTCATGTCGTGCGATGTACAGTAATAAGCATGCATTTCTTTGATTCCGAATTGGGTTATAGACTCGCGGGATAGAACAGTATGATCACAATAATACAATGCTGACGTCAGAATGGGAATGATCAACTTAAATCACGACTATTTTAAGCCGTTGTGACACGGATGGAGCATATTGGAGATACGGGATAGCAGCACATGCAGATATGTACATCACAGTACATGAAAAATGCATATGGAAGTACCAATACAAAAAGGGAGAAGACGAGAAATATTCTCCTGCTCCCGAGAAACTTGACGAGAATTCCGTAATGTGATTGATCGCTTTTTGGCACTGCATAAGAAATTTGGTTTAGTTGGTGCAGGAAATGGTTGTCGTGTCAAGGCTATTGCTAATTTGATTCGAGCCTGGCATTAGGCACGACCATCTGAAAGGAACAGTCGCTGTTGTGTGTAGCGCTTTTAGAAGTACAGTATGGGGCTTAACTCGAGGTATGTCCTACAAAAAATAGTCACCTACATATCCGTCGAAGCGTAAGCAGGGAGCGTGTCGCACGATGTGGAAAAAAGACGAGCGTTGAGACGTTTTGGGGTCAAATTCAGTGCAAATTTACGGAGAACACAGGGATCTCATGAGGCTTTCCAGATAGCTCTATGAGTACACTAAAAGCATGAGGACACTAAAAGCAAGACTGCAGGCGCCTCAGTTGTGCCTCACACGCGAAACACGGGACCAAAAAATTATTTCTGTATTCGCGACGTTATGGGAGGACCACAGAAGTCTTCAATCTTAATCCTCTGGATGGGGGAGAGCTTCTAACATGATTCATGAATACAGCTGCAGTAGAGTATTTGCCGACGTGGGCATATTGAAAAGGAAACGTTGCTGCATTTTTTCTGGCGCTTGGCGTCGATCCAGACGCTCTCAGACTGGAAACGAATGACGAGGCAACGTCTCTTGGCTGAGGGCTTTTGGAGTGTCCATCTAAAGACCACCTCGACCACACACCGTGGCCACGCTGAGGAACCACACTGAGGAGCCTGCGGCGCGAGCTTTGTTTCATGGGATGGTTGTTCTTCCCGACAGCGCAGAGGAAGCTCTGCCATCGAGGTCTTGTGATGAAAATATGAAGCGAACAATGATTGCACCACAACTTCCAGCTCGACACTTCCATAGGTTCTGTCGTGTGTGCAAGTTGTGGGCTCGCACTGAGGGAGGGGGGTAATTTTTTCTGAGGGAGGCGGGTGAGAAGACTCGGACCGCGCTCCGCCAGTGCGTGGCAAACGATGCACGTCGTGATACGTGCGCCAATTCTACATGTACCCTTCGAAGGGTACGCTGTGCCACTGTATGTTCCCATGAAGTAAATACCATTGGTACAGTATGTATTCAGTCGAACCGCTTGAGCCGTTACGATGACGGGTAATGCTTGCAAGATAAAACTTTACTCGCACCGCGCTTGCCGTGTACTCTCCCTCAAAATCCCTACTGGCACCCCTTCACAGCAATTTCTCCGACAACATGCCCGCGATATACAGAAAATTTACTCTACCGGATGAAATCCAAATTTGTTCTTAAAATAAAGACAGCAACATGGAGCGAGCAATTGGCCAAAAACACGTCACATCTGTAAGCCTGTGGTAAACTGTAATGTGCATTGAATTCAATCAAATATGATACGATTGGAACTGTATGATAACGGTTTGATAAAGAAGACCACCTAATACATACTGTATATACTGTACAGGGGGGGTCGCTATATAGTGCCATCTTTCTTAGTGCCAGCTCCGATATAGTGCTACCCTTCTGTGGGTGGCACGAATTTTGAGCCAAAAACGAAAGGGTCTCCAGAGAGGCCAGTTGGATGGACGTACTGCCCGAGAGCCACTGCCGCCGCGGAAAGATATTATGCAGTTGCCAACTCGAATAGAGACTATGGCAGAAAAAGGCGGGGTCGATGATGCAATTGGACATCTGCAAAAGTGTAGGCTGGCATTTATGGTTGCGAAAAAGGAGGAAGTCAATGCGACGGCTCGGCAGCTACTAATAACAGAAATGCTTGATTAGAGTCCGTAGTGAAGATGCAAAGTATGAGTGATGGCGTCCTGCGAGCGGTCTTTCTGAGCAGTGATGCAAGGAAGTGGCTGCAAAAAATCTCATTTTCTTACAGTGCCTGGTTCGATATAGTGCCGTTTTCGGCCCACTGACACAGGGTAGCACTATATCGCGACCGGGCTGATTACTGTTACTGTACCCTTAACGGTACCTTCGAAGGTAGTGCATTTCCACCACGAGGGCGTAGCAATTTGAGCTACCCATTGAAATGACTGCAGCAGGCTCAAAGAACACACACATTTGATTGGGTTGTTGATGAGGGGCGAGTGGAAAGACAAGTTGCCAGAGAAGCATTTCGGAGTGTGAATAAGTGGGCAATTTTGGCCTTCACCCCTCCCAGGTTCCTTATTCGAGGCAACGAAAGAATACCGTTCAGTATCAAGATGCCAACTGATACGCATCATTTTCTTCCAATCAATAAGCCCGTTTTCTTCCCATCTCGCCCCCCTCGCCCAATGACTTTCAAAAGGAAAACCCACATCCTTGTTGTCTACTGCACCTACGGTACCTTCAACAACATGGGAAGACTTATCCTGGTGTCCTTGGTTCCCTTTTTGTTGTGTAGCAGATATGCCGCTGTTGCGACGGGGTCGGCCCTCGCATGTGCTGTAGATGGAAACGCTCGAGGAAGATGACAACCTGCCCCGATGGCTCTTCATCCTCCTCACCGTTGCAATCACGCTTCCGTGGGCCATCGTCCCCGTCTACGATGCCATCGATTCCAAGTACCGTACAATCCAAGCCACTGCGTGCCGCCTCCTCACCAGCACTCTTCTTCTGGTTGTCTCTTACGCGGCCGCACTCTTCTTCATCATTCACGAGGGCGTAGTTGCAGGGGATGAAACAATTGCTATCCTCGTCCTGATCATCTTCAATTTATGGTATGTTCTTCGAAACATCAGAGGATGGCTCCAGCTCTTGGCACTGCGCCGGGTCAAGCCCGCCTTTGTTCTCATGCACAAGAACATCTTCTCCTCGTTCTCAGCGGAGCTGGCTGGACACTCGACCTCTCCCATTCGTACAGTTCTCGTCTCGGAGCGACTTATTGATAACGACTTTATGAGCGACACCCCCTTCCTTCAACCCTTTCCGAAGCTATATGGTAATCCCAGGGTCGACAACAACCTAAGCGGGTATTCCGAAGAAAGAAAATATCAAATTCAAACTGTCGAGATCTTCGCCGTTGCCATATGGAAGGCATGGTGGACGCAAGACATTTCCATCCTTCAAGCGGAAAACGACTTATCGGCGAACTCCCGCCTAACCCACGGAATTTCTTTCTACCCCAAAACCGAAAACCTGGATGCCTCCCTAGGTGGTAAGTTATACGCTATAGCCAAAAACACGAAGAAAGACGACAGTACGACAGCCTCACCAATTATTGTATTTAATTGTAATTTCTCTAATGTCCAAAGGTCCGCGGTATCCGGCAGGGTTTTGTGAACAAGCGGAAGAAGAAGGCCTCAGCGCGAGGCAAAAATGGATAGAATTACTGGCATCCTACAGCACTGCATCTAATCGTGTGGTAGGTCAGCAGGATACGCCCCAAGATCCTACCGCTGACATGATTAATTACGACTTTAGCCATGTCGTCGCGCTTGTTGTGGAGGAAAAATCAATCCGAAAACCAAACAGGATATCTATCTTATGGCACAATACCGCGCGATTTGAGAAGGTATACGAGGATAACAGGAAAGCTCTAATCGAAGAAGAAGAGATTCCTAATGTTGTGCTTCCGACATGGAGTTCATGGGTGCAGATTGCTCAGGACATAAGCACAAATTTGTGTCGACCAGTCTACCTGAATGGGTCTCTGCTGACCAATTTTGCGGCTGAGTTGTCTGCAGCCAGCGTGATTCTTCTGCGTTATCCCGAAAAGTATAAAAGGCTTGTTGAACAAATTCACATGGATGGGCTAAACGCGAGATGGACGTATGGATGGTCAGGTTTACTGTCATGCTTTTCTGCGCTGTGGACGATGGAAAGGATATATTTCGCAATGCTGAACGGGCTTTCGCTGCTTGCGATAAGTGGAAATGGCGAAGTTGCCAATATTGACAAAAACATTCGGGCAATGCTGTACGGGTACGCATCGTTCGCTGTGAGTGACCGTGCCATAGGAGAGAAGATCAAGGATTTACAACAGAAGGAAATGTCTCGACGTCACGTAGCGAACCTAGGGGTAACCTTTCGTGGGTATGGACTCGACACAGTCCGAAGAGCTTGCAAACGGCTTGGAATTCCGCGAGATGTTCGTTTTATGGACGGACCGTTGGCCTTGTCCGTGGCGTGGGCTATGCAATACCTGGACGGGGAATGTGGGCTAGACACGCTAACGCAAGGCAACACGCATGAAGAAATTGATCGTTTGTTGGGGTCGAGCACGGCATGGAGATATCCCGCTCGATATGATTGAAAGGACTACGCCATGCGGGCATCGGCTGACCGAAAGGTTCGCCCATGGGATATCGGTTCTACAGCGGCCCCTGAAGCGAGCATTCACGACTGATTCTTTTGTATGAGGGAGAGCAATGCTGTTTCAGCATAATATAAGTGCGCAGGACCCACGACAAGATGTTATCTCTGGTGTCTTCGATCGTACGGATATTCGCTGGAGAAGCCTAGTTCAGCGTCCATGAAATGCAACTCTTGGAGCAGTCTGGTTGAACTGCATCACCATATCCTGACCATTTAAATACTGTAGAATTTAACTGAAAATTGGTCTCGCTTCTCGTGGTTCCGGGGTGGCAGAAGAGCAACAGCCAAGGTAATTATCTGCTCGACCCCGTGCACAGTCATGGGATAGGAGTCCTCGGAAGCACAGGAGGACTCGATCATCTGGATATGCAGTATGTGAGCCATATATTGTCTATCGACGTCGGTGAACATGGAGACCACATACAGTATCGTCTTGCCAGTTCTTTGGAGCTTGAGGTAAAGTACTGCATGAATGGTACCTTTTTCTAAGGAGCCTGAAAAGGATGTTTATTTGCGAATTTGGCGTGGGCTGAGCCAGCGAAAACTCCCTTACTACGTGGGCCATGAACCTGCATTCTGAAGTAAGGCCAAAGAAGAGTCAGAATGGATTCCTGGGAGCTTTGATGCCTTTCTAGAAGTCGATAATAGTAGACTTGAATCTTCGAGTAGGGCCATTGTTTCTCTTAAAGTGGACAGCTTCTTCAGGACTGCTCTTTGTATTCTTTTCCGCATGAAATACGCAATCGTGCCAACCACTTTCACAGAATTGACAGGCTTCGCATTCTTCCCTACACTACCTACATAACCCTGGTCACCCAGTAGAGCTCCGCCCTTCTCACGGCATAGACTGGAGACTTTTAGATATCTTTGCCGTCGAGAGGTGCTTGTGAATTAATTTACACCGCCCTTTTGTCCACGAAGTTATTCACAAGAAGTTGCTGTACTCAATCGATAAACAGAGCAACAATAGTGGGTTTACGAAAGCAGAAATCGGAAATGCTTTTTTCAGAATTCTGCAATACGTATGACAAGTGTAAAAATATACAAAATTCTACAATGAAGCTGTGTGCAGTATATTAGTGAGCTTACGCAAACCGCATTCTGTAGAATTCTGCAAACAATTCTGCAAAAAACATTACACTGAAATTGCAGATTCAGAATTCTGCAATCAAGTCGTGGCAGAAAATGCCGAAATGTGGCGCGTAGGTAATTTTATTCAAATGCAAGGGGGGGGCCGATACAGTGGCATGCGGGCGGACGTCAAGGAATCACACTTGCGGAGGATAGGATGGAGCCGACCCATGACACGGCATGCGGGCAATTGTCGCCGCGGCGACACTGGACCAAATTGCAAAGCTGAGACGCTGGGCGAGGCGGGTTTTGGCGATGCCAAAGCTGCAGCCTGAGCGGAGGGCAATTTGGTACGCAACGTGTTCAAGGACAGCAGTAGTACGGGTGCTCCAAGCGCCCAGGGTATCGAAGGCAAGGGGGACGAAATGCCAGTCTAGGGGAGGAAGTGGGTCGTCAGCCTGAAGGTGTAAGGCAGCGCGTAGAATGCGGTCATGGGTGCGGAGTTTTCTTGTATGGGCTCCTTCAGCGGCGCCGGCAATAGACCGAGCAGCTGAGTTCATGTTCACAGCGGTGTAGGGATTACAAATCGTGACATCGTATGCTGTAGGGCGGTCTGGGAGGGCGCCAGCCGCTGGAGGGGACGGTTGGACAAGAAGGTCAGCAGGGCGGTGCGCCGTGCCTGGTATGAGAAATGGAACTTCGCGGTCGCACGCGAGGCCGGCTGCCCGAAACGCTTGGCGGGCCAGAGTATTGCGGACAATGTTATGGCGGTGGGTGGCACCATACCCGTGTTTGCAGTTGGCGGCGTGGTCGCCACGTTTGTCCATCGCGCGGCCACAGTGAGAGCATTGTAGGGGGCCCGTGAATCGTCGTACACAGGCGTGTCGAGGTGTCGCCGAAGCATAACGGACCACACGGCACTTGAAACTCGCGAGGTCAGAGATGGGTGAGCGCAGAGGGAGGAGGCCGCACCAGGAGTAATTAGAGAGTTGTAGCGGGCGCGACGGCGTACAGAGGCTGCCGTATGATCGGTTGGGTTAGGCTGTCGATCCCACTCTCTCGTTTCCCAATACATGCGCGAAAAGGCTCCATGGAGCGCCTGATATAATGTAAAATGTACTCGTTCAGGTCGTTCCAATAAAGCTTGCGGTTCGAAGGGGCCCAGATTAGAATGCGTAGCGAGGATCCCTCGGGTTTCGACCTCGGGGTTCAAGGAGCGCAGTACATGCACTAGATGCTTCCGTGCCATTCCGCGGTAGAATGGCACTGTAGGGTTCGAAGGTCTGCGAATGCGTGCTTTTGCGGATTCAATTAAACTTGCAGCGTGAGATGCGTGCACAAACGGGGCCAGTGGCGTGAAACCATGACCACCCAAACGGAAGGGGAGGCCAATCTGGGAAGATATGGACGGAGAAAGCGTGACATGATTGAACCGTGAGTAGGCGGATTTTTGACTTTGATCAAACCGAATTGCGCTTGGGAGCGAAATGCAAGGTGGTGTTAGGCGGAACACATGCTCGACGCGGCACACGGATCCTGATACTCGATGCAAATGGAAACGTATACGGGCATCGGGAATGCTGTCGAGCAATGTGAGGGAGTTTGACACTGCCTCAATTTTTTCCTCCAAGAACGACCTCATGAATTCATCTGTGCCTAACGGGGCGCCCAAAAGAGCAATTCCGCCTTCTTGTGAGACGTGTAATGGGAACGACGTGGTGAGGGATTCGAGAAGTGACGGCTCAGTTGTGGGCCAGAAAGCGCGACATTTAGAAATGTTCATGCGGAATCCCATGCTGGGGCCAAATGTGTGAAGAATGCGGAGTGCTTTTGTAACCTCCGGGATAGTGCCAATTAGTGTACCGTCATCGGCGTACCAGCGGTTGAGCAGGAGGCTGCATTCGCGGGTGATGCGGCGGACAAGTGGTTGGAGCGCTAGAGAGAAAAGGAGCATTCCAGCAGGGTCGCCCTGTTGGGTTCCTTCACAACTTTTAAGAATGACCCGTGGGGAAGACGGTAGCACGAGGTCGGGAACAGTGCGGCCATAGATGAGGTTGAGGAAGTGGGCAAGGCTAGGCGTTTCCAGAGTGAGACGGTTGAGCATAGACTGACGGCTAAAGCTGTTGAACGCGTTTTGTGCGTCAACAGAGACGAGCACGTAGTTGGGGTTGCGACCGTGTCGCGCCAGGAGCATACGACAATCATGGACAATGGCGTCCATTCCCGATGGGACGCCATTGGCGTGCTGTTCCGGGGCCAGGCGATCGCGGGTATCATCAATTGCGGCGGGGAGAAGGACCTTTGTTACGAGGCGGCGAAGTGCCTGCCCCACGGCAATGGGGCGGAGCTTCCCGGGGCGCGGCTGGAGGGGGATCAGGGTTGACGCAGCCAGGAGGGGGGCTGTGCTATCCGGGATATCGCCTCGGGCGAGTCGCCGCACCACGCGGGTGAGGGCCGAAAGACCGGTAACTCCGGCCTCGGGAGTGACGGTCGTGCGAGCGAGCAGCTGCAGAAGGCGGGGCGAGAGGCGATCTGGCCCGGCTGCGGACGTGGGATTGAGAGATCGAGCAGCACGTAGTACTTGGCCTTCGGTGATGTCTGGAGTCGGAGGGAGGTCGGTTTGGGAGAGTGCTTGTGTGGGCACAGCGGGTGTAGGATGAAGGGCGGTTAGGGAAGTGCGCGTGGTCTCTTCTTGGAGGTCGGGGAGTGGTTTGTCTGTCAATGCGCGCATTGCTCGTCCATATTGGGCGTCGGCGGCCATGCCCATGGCGCGGCTGATGCGGCGACGGGCGGGGTCAGAGCGCTGGCGCTGTCTGCTGTGTCTTACGTCCCAGTCCAGCTCAGCTTGTCGAGCGGCGAGGGCCTCGTGCCACAACTGGGGCCAGTAGAGGCCGGAAGTCGCTCGTCGAATGCGATCTCGAAGGGCGAGGTGCTGCCCTTTCCTTGTTCGCCAGCCCTGCTCGCCACGAAACGAGCGGCAGAGGACGGCCGTGGGAAGTATGTGCAGGCGAAGGAAGGCGCGGTGTGTCTCTTGAGGGTCGGTGGTGGCGGCGGCAGCCCGGACGAGCTTGATGAGAAGGAATGTCAGGCTGTGGAGGCAGGGGGCGGGGATTGCGGAGTAGATGTGGGACGAGCGTAGAGGGCAGAGGAGGAGTTCCTGGACAGTAGGAAGGGGCAAGGTGGGGCGAGGAGGCGCAGGCTGAGGCGGCGTAGCGGAGGGTGAGGGGCTCACCAGCAGGGAATTGGTTGATGGGCTCACTGTGGCGGGATTTGGATGCCGTCGACGTCGGCATGCGCTGGGTCAGAATTACCGCGAGGGCGGTGAGGTGGGGGATGCTCGGCGGAGAAGGAGAGCGGCCGCTTGCGGAGGAGAGTGGGTTGCGATAAAGTGGTAGAGAAGGCGATGGGTGTCTGGGAGGCTGTGGGGCGGCTTGGGGTAGCAGCGGGCTTGTGCGGAGGACTGGTCATAGTGGCAGGTGAGGAGGGTCTCTGGGCGGAGGGGGCCGGAACAGGGGCCGGAGCAGGAAGAGTGGGAGCCACGGTGAGGACTGTGGGAGCAGACTTCACAAACGGCGGAAACGGGGGCCGGCCGGCATGAGGACTGGCAGATGCCGTGGGTGGAGTGCAAGGCGACGTGAGCGCCGGGGCCCGAGTAGAGGCGACCGTAGTGGCTGCCACGGTGGCTTGGGGGGAGTCAATAGAAGCAGCGGGAGCGGGGGCAGTCGGTGGTGAAATAGGGGCGGGGACCGGCAGCGGTGAGGTAGGGCTGGGGACTGGCAGCTGAGAGGCAGGGGCGCCCACCGGGCGGGAGGGAAGAGCGCGAGCCACATGAGTAGAATGGTCGGGTGGAGCGAGGCGGGTCGGCGGAGTAGGGAGGATGGCGCTTGCATGCGCCTGTAGGGTGACAGCCAGAGCTTGGCGGACTGGGAGGGGAACGGAGGTGGTAGTGCAGCGGTTGAGGAGGCGAAGTGCCTCGCCACGTAGGTGGCATGAAACACCGGCTGCGGCGGAAGAGTCAAGAGCGGAAGCGGTGAGAGGTAGGGGAGCATTGTTGACGGAGAGGTCTTCGTAGACTAGGCAGAGGTGGGCGAGGATGCGGGCGAGAAGTGTAGTGCGAGAAGCTGGGAAGTAGACGTATGTCCACCGGCCAACGCCGGGGATAATGACGTGGGGAGGGAGAACGGCGTCAGCGAGGTGAGCACCATGGCGTAAGGCAGACTGCGCAGCATTAAAGGAGGTGAAGGCTGCGAGGCTGGCATCCGGAGCGATGGCGTAGGCGGTGACGGCGGGAGGGGGTGCAACAGGCTCTCCGGTGCGAGGGTCGAGACGAAGCGGTGCGCCCACGGTGCGGACGAGGGAGTGGGCCGCCGCGAGCGTCGCACTCGAGACTGAAGTAGGTGCGGCAACTGCCGCACGGGCGGCCCCGAGAGTCAGGATAGAAGAATCGGGGCGGTTTGGGACACGTGGCAGTTGGAGGGGGCGAGACACGACAAAGGGAGAAGTGGAAGGTGAGGTGGAGGTGGAAGTTGAATTGACGTTGTGAGCGGAGGTGATAGGCAGAGCGGCGTTCGGCGCATATGTGGGGACAGCTGTCGAACGGGGAGATTTACGCGGTCGT